AGTAATTAAAACTCAACTACAAGAGAAGGATGAACACAGCCCAAGGAGGTGGGGGACAAACCTGAAGTACCTGGCTCAGGTGATCAGGGAGACTGTGCCTTTGGACCCTATAGAACACCTGCTACATAAGCTCTTTCTATCAAGCCCAAGAGACATTGATGTTCTATCTAATACAAAAAAAAAAAAACCAACACAGGGAGACATCCAGAAAGAGCAGACAAAGAAACATGTCCCAAAGGAAAAAATAGAACAAAATTCCAGAAAAAAAAACTAAACAAAATGAGGACAACCAATCTACCAGATACACAGTTCAAAACCCTGGTTATAAAGATGCTCAATAAACTTAGGAGCAGAGTAGATGTACTTAGTAAGGATTTCAACACAGAGATAAAATATACAAAATGAGAGTAGAAATGTCTAAAAGAACCAGTCAGAAATAAAGAAAACACTCACTAAAATGAAGAATACATTACAGGAAAACAACAGTTGAGCAGATGAAGTAGAGGATCAAATCAGAGATTTGGAAGATAAGAAATAAAAAAATCAGAACAGCAAAAAAATACAAAAGTAAATGAGAATAGTATAAGGAGTCTCTGGAACAATTTTGAGTATACCAACATTCTCATCATGTGCGTGCCAGAAGAATATGAGAGAAAGCAAGGAATTAAAAATCTATGTGAAAAAATAATTGCAGAAAACTTCCCCAACTTGGGAAAGTAAGCACAGAGAGTCCTAAACAAGATGAACCCAAAGAGGGCTACTCTAAGACACAACATTGTTAAATAGTCAAAGATTAAAGAAAAAAAAAAGACACTCTTACAATAAAAGCAGCAAGGGAAAAATAGTTATCTATAAGGCAGCTCCCATAAGACAGTTAGCTGATTTCTCAGCAGAAGTTTTGTAGTCCAGAGGAGACTGTCAAGAAATACTCAAAGTTATGGAAAGTAAAGAAATACAACAGATCACTCTACCCATCAAAGCCATCATTTAGAATTGAAGGGCAGATAAAAAGTTTCCCATACAAGAAAAGGCTAAAGGAGTTCACCATCACCAAACAAGTATTACAAGAAATGTTAAAGGGTCTTTTTTAAGATGGGAGGGGGTTGCAGGGTAGGTGAAAAAGATGATGGGATTAAGAAGTACAAAGTGGTAGTTACAGAATAATCATAAGGGTATAAAGTGAAGCATAGTCAATAATGTAATAACAGTGTATGGTGTCACATGAGTACTAGATTTATCAAGGTGGTGAGTTATATAATGTCTATTCACTGGGTGTACACCTGAAACTAATATAATATTGTATGTCAACTGTAATTAAAAAAAGATGATTTACAGTAAAAAATTATACTTTTGATAGATTTTACATTTTATATATTCTGGAAAACTATCTATAAAAAAGATTTGATAATTTACAGTCTTAGTAATAGTACTCATTTCCTTGATTCTTTGCCAATAGTAAATATGATTGGTCTTTTTAATCTTTGCCAAGTTGATGAATAAAAGAGGATGTCTGCTGTTTTTTATTAGAGTTTCAAGTCTAATTCTTAATGAGGTTGCGTATCTTGTCACGTGATTAGCACCTCTTTGTGCGGTACTTCTTGAATGCATAAAAATGATAATATATAAACATAATATGTCATTAAGCTATATGTGATATATATATGTGCATATATGGATAGAAATGAATAAAAATACATTGAGAAATGTAGTGTTAAGAGTAGTTATCCAGGCAATGCAGTGATTGTGGGTTGACTATAGTCATAAGGGAATTTCGTGTGTTACTTGGACTTTTTTACAGTGAGAATAATGTATTCCAACTTTTTAAAATAATAAAGTGACTTAAATAAATAGACATCATAAAAATGGATTAAATTGTATATGACTGGCTACAGCTTCTTTTCCTCTTTGCTTGCTTCTCATCCAGCTACTTCCAGTAAATAACCCTGCTTCTCTGTTGCATCAACTTCAATAGTTTCTCTACCTCCTTGAAGGAGTTTCTGAAGATCTGGTCTTAGACACTCTGCAATCTCCTCCAGCTATCTCTCCTGCACCCCTGGTCTCCACCCTCAGAGATCTATGGATCTCACACCAACACCTCCCTGCCTGCCTAACCCTTCAACTTGGCTTTAAATAAATAATGGCATTGAACTTAATCAAAACATGTGCAATTACAGCAACAAAAAGAACATACAAGAACCTCTTAGAAGAGAAAATAGACACATAGTAAGGTGCTAATGCAGCCTGCGGAGTGAGACAAGGCTTTCCTGAGAGAGTGGTATTTAAATATGAAGGGTGAGTAGGTGTTAGCTAGGAAATACCATTAAAGCTTTCCAATGACTAAATTATGAGCAGCATGACTAAAACAATTTGGGTACTGTTAGACTAGCTTGAAAGAAAGTATTTTCTGTTATCTCTGGGGCCAAGAATCAGCTTGGCCTCCAGGCTCCAAGGCATGAGAAGTCTGATATGTTTCCAGGGGGATGGAGGTGCTTCTTGGCCATATACATGTGGCCAGAAGTGAGGAAGTGGAAAAAGTTAGCAGGATTCCATGAGAAGGATCCAAAGCAGCATTGTCCAAAAGGACTTTCTGCAGTAATGGAAATATTCTATAATCTGTCCTGTCCACTGTGGTAGCTACTAGTCACATGTGGCTATTGAGTACTTGAAATGTGGATGGTGTTTTTGAGGAACTGAATGTTTTATCTTATTGAATTCTTATTTTATCTTAATTTAATTTAAATAGCCACATATGGTTTGTGGCCACCATATTGGGCATTGCAGATCTACAGCAAAAACAATGTGAAACGTGGTTTCAAATATGTTGAGAGTTAAGGAAGGACGCATGCACACATGGAATACCAAGGAGTAGGGGAAAGTAGTGGACCTGGTAGTCCTTATTAGAGAATGGTGTTACCAAGAGAGTCAGCAGTTAATGAAAGTCATATCATAAAATGGTGCTAAGACATGATAAAGAAATAAAAGACCCCAGGAACTTGTGCCTAAGCAAGCATGACTCAGAGTCTCAGGAAAGAGTTAGAAATAATTAAGAGAGAATTCAGAGGTTTCCTATTTTTAGTAACAGAGTTGGTGGGGTCTTGTGTCATCACTGGGTATGCTGTATTTGATGATATATAAGGATGTGAAATCAAAATGATACAAGGTACAGTTCTTTGGGGGTTTTGCTGGTGGTGGTGTTTGTTTTTTAATTCTCAGGAAATTTGAAAAAGTAGGCTTTGGTCTACTGAGCATCTTTGCTTTTCTTCTCTCTCCTTTATAACAAGATTCCTAGTTGCCTTCTCTGCTCCAGATCTGGCTGAAGCTCAAGGTTAAAACATTTGTTTACCAAAAGCACTCCATCAGCCTCTCTGATCCGAATTAATTTTTATAGGCACCTGTTCCAAAAGCACACAGAGAAATTGAAAAAGGCATGAAGCTGTTAGAACTTGTCAAAGACTTCAACACAAAGGCCAAGCGTGGAGGAATGCCAATTTTTCATGTGTGTTGACACACAACTTCACTTACTGTGTTTTGGTGATGACATCATTTGCTAACCTCACCCATAAATTCTAGCAAGTGAGACAAAATCACCAAAAGTCCTCTGTCATTTCCACCTGTGCCAGCTGCAGTGGTATTGGATTTATCTTCACAGTATTATATGATGATGAGGAGGGGGACCTGCAGAGCCCCACTGATTTTCTGCTGCCATCAAAAAGGGTTTTTTTCATTCCACTAAGGGAGTCGGGGCAAGATGTGTTCTACCTGCTGCCTTTGTTCAGCAGGTGATGAATTGACTGAGGCTGTTGAATGCACTCCGCAGTACATAAACAGAGTTATAAATTCAACGTCCCTGTTTACCTTCTCACAAGTCTTCATTGAGATGCCTTTAGAAAGAAAAATAGAATTTAAAAAGCAATGGGTTATTCCTATCTGTTCCTTTTATTCTTCCATTCTTTCTCTGCATTGATTTTATTGTAGGAACTGCTGATTATTAGTCGATTACACATTTGTTCCAAGTTACAAAGACACAGTGCTGTGCTATTAACTTAACACACTCGTTTTGCTCATGAAATCCTTATCCTATTCCTTAGAGCAACATCCCAGATAGAAGATGTCTTGCAGCCAGTGGGAGCCATGCCATATAATGGGCTGGCAAGTGGACAATCTACCCCCTGAGTCCTGGCTCTGTCTGCCCCATTGTAATTCCATTAAATATATTTGAGCTTCATTCTCCTTATGCATAAATGGGAAATAAAAATGTCTGCCCTGCCTACATTCCAGGTTTGTGAAAGGATCAAATAACAAAATAGTTACAGAAGTGATTGGTAAAATTGTACCGTACTTGGAAGATATTAAATTTATACTTATTATTGCACCTCCACTAATTTCCAGAAAGACTTTTAGTTCAGTTACAACAGAAGGTTCATAGGCATTTGGGCCATTAAAGCAAAGCTAAAAGAACAAGAGTCATATATGAAAATAGCAGATAATTGTTCCAGAAAAATCTATGTTAAGAATAGTTCTATCATTTGAACACTAAATTTGGCTTTCAACTTCTTGGCAGCTAAAGCAGAACACAAAACACCATTAGGCACATGACTCTCCCTGATTTACAAAATGAAGCATGTTGTTTTATTAGGAGAGATGAAATTTTTCCTGCCATTAGACTCTAAAAATTGTGGGTGAAATCACTTTCTGGGCACAGACCTGTCTACATGCTGCAGTTGGAATGCCAGCCTGGCCCACAAAACCTCTGCCTACTTGCCCCTTCAGGCTTTTCTCCCCACACTCACTTGAAACATGGCAAGTGTGAAGGGAGACATTAGAACGAGCTTAGGCACCTGAATCCCTACTTGGAGCTGCCCACCAATTAGAAATATCCACATTCTACTTCATATGAGAGAAAAATAATCCAGCCTTATGTTTGAGCTATTTTACAGTTTACATACTCTATAAAAATTAAGGTTTTCTAATTTGGAAAGTTGTTGGATAACATAATATACAGAATTTGGGGGAGTTTTGCTTCACAAATTTGCACATCATTCTTGCACATGTCCATGCTAACTTTCTGTGTATCGTTCCAATTTTAGTCAATGTGCTGCCAAAGCATGCATCAGAGTTTTTAACTATCATTTTTATCTAATCTTTTTAAAATTTTTATGGGCTGTCTCATATTTTGTCATAGAGGAGTAAAATCTAACAGCTCTAAAGAAAGAGAATGAAACAAGGACAGGTGGTTTCATTTCTGTGTTTCCTGCGGCAGACAGGAAAGAAGCAGGAGAGGAGAATCGTTGTAGAACATGAGACAAGTCCAGGAGGTCCTGTCCATTCGGGTAAATTGACGGTGAACATACAATGGGTGATGAAAAGACAGAAAGAGGACTGTTCTTTAATACATTGGGAGGAGTCCTAAGAGTGTAGAAACAAAGACAAATAATGGAAAGGTAGAAAAGCTCTAAATCTGGTTTTCCTGATTCCCTTAGAGTCTGCTCTGCCCGGTGGGGCATCAGAGCCCTCGGCTTTGACCTGTTGGAGCAAAGAAGCATCGTCAATCAGCCTGGGTATAAGATCTGTCTGCAGCCTTCTCAGGAATTTTATAAAGACAATCAAGCATCATACATACTGTGGATTTATTCATTTTATTTTACCTCAAGCACAGTTCTCAGATCTGCACAACTGCCTCCTGGACTTCTCTGGTCTTGTTAGGTCAAGTGTGTTTGTTTAGATTCCATTCACCACCCCTCCCCACCCCCGGACAGTTCGTTCTGAGAACACTTCCTAAACATCTCTGGGAACTTCCTGCTTGGCCTTACTATGCCTTTCCCACCCTGAACTGTTTTTGGCCCTTCCTCCTTTGCATATAAATGCCCCACTGTTTACACACAATTTAGGAGATTTCATATGTAGCTATTTAAATCTCAAGATTTAGCAGGACTTGGACAAATGAGAGCATGGAGTAGATAGGACAGGGCCAGCCTTTAGCTCTGGACCATCACCTGGGCCAAAACAGATGCCCCAGGAGGTGATATAGACACAGTTGCTAACAGAGGTAGGTCAAGACCCAATCTGGTGAGTCTAGCAGTGCAGGGAAACTATGGTCCCAGGTCAACAGGCAGCAGGGCATCCTGGAGCAAAGAACGTCCTGCCAGGTGAGGCCAACGATAGTGAGGAATTATGAAAAAGAAATACTCAAAACACCTCCACAGCCAGATTTGAGGAAGAAACTCAATCTGTATATGTCAGGCTTCAGTGAAACTTCTCCAACATTCCATTTCCCTTGACCCATAATTTCTACTTCTCAGCATGCCTATAAAACCAGCAAACCACAGCCATCCTTTTGTACACAATAGCTGAATTTTGAAGTACCTAAGAACGTGAGAAATATGGTTGACACCAAAATCATGTGAATACCCAGAGACTACGTCATTTCTCTGAGCATCAGCAGTGCTACGAGAAAGTTCAAGGAACTGCCATTTTTACAGTTCTATTCCTTCGCTTCAAGCTGACATATGGCTTTTTGGATACCATCACTTGAAAGAAAGTGAAAGTCACAAGTTATTTTTCTAGTACTTCTATCCAAGTATCTTTTTTGTTCTAAAGAAGAGGATCAAAGCACCAATGAAAATGTTCTGAATGTTAATAAGGTAAGAGATAGAAAATGATGTTCTTGTTCTCTTCTGTGCCAATCCATGTCTTTGCAAATCTTATTACCCCCACTTCCTACTGCAACTAACACGAATGTAGAATCACAGTTGTGTCGTGGAGGTCTAACTGCCTTTAGGAAACATATGCTTTAGAATCAAGACTGTAGAGACTATGGGGTTCCCTCTACTCAGGGAACATGTGATACCTGTTAATGAGCACTTGCTCTTTCAAGCCTTCTCCAGACAATATCTAATCTAATCCTCCCAACAACCCCATTACCTCCATGTTAGAAATAAAGAAAACTGAGCCCCAAGGAGGTTAAGTGATTTGCAGTCACATTATAAGTGACAAAACTGGAATTCAAACGCTAAGTGATTGTGCCTCATTTGTGACTCATATAACAAACATAATAAGCATTACTGACTTTGCTCCTAAATGATCCTGCTAAGATTGATAAGGTATGTGAAATATTATTTGGAAATACGTGTGAAACATTTGCTACACAATTGAAAGGCCCAATTTCCCATTTGTTTAATTAAGCATCACTCTCGCTATTAAAGGAGATCTAATGTCTGACAACTTCAGACCCAAACAAGGAAATGTCATATAAAAAATAAAATGAGAGATAAAGAATCTAGTGTCAGAATCCTGGCATTTCTAAGATCGTGTCTTCAGTGACTGGGTTACAAATCACTGCCTTTACAGTGCTGGGTTGCGTAACAGCTGCCAAGGGCAATTTCTCCTCATACGGGTGCATCTCGACCTGTAGCCTGTGACTTAGTGCTCATGAAAGATGGACGAGACTCCACTGAGACTGCCCTGTGTGTCGCTCTTGTCTAGGTGTTCATGCTGCGTTTGGAAACCAGGTTGGCTCAAGGGCTAGCATTGAGTCCTGCTTGCCCATTGGCCATTGAATGATCCCATTCTGTGTGTGTTGAGTCTACTAAAAATGACCAGACTTCCTTAAAAAAAAAACCTGCAAAGTTTAATTTTTTTGTAAAAAAAAAAACAACCCTGTCATTAGATTCGCTGTGTTCATGCAGGTTCTGGACTGTAATCTCTTCTCCTACCACTAACATGTGCTTTTCCAACTGGTAATTTCAAAATGAGTGGTCTGGTCTTTGACATGTTTAAAGTTAAAAAAGAAAAATAAATCTTGAGATTGATTTGACCAGTTTTCCTTGGGTTTACTCCAGATAACAAATAATTTGAAAAGAACACCCACTCCCAACATTCCAAAGCAGTTTTATTCTCTAACATAATGACGGTATCAGGCTGACTCTCCTGATGGCCCCAAGCACCCAAAAACACTCTGCGTTCTTAGCACCAGAGAAAAACTGCCATGTTTCTGTTCATTCCAGAGTCAAAATTGTTATAATCTGCTCTTACGTTTTTCTGGATGTCCTGTCAAAATGTTTGCTCTGTCTATTAAAATATGTGAAATTCACTTAGGTCATCGAACATGAACAGCCCTGAAATCTTTCAGACAAATGGACTGGGTGAATAGCAAACACATGAAGATGGGAATGAGGAACATGCAGGGCAAAGCATGTCTTTGCTACTAAGTACAGTAGATTCTACCATAAAGAAATGATTGATAGCACTGGGACATTAATTTATCAACACAGGTAAAATCTAACTTGTATGACACACAGTATAACAATTTTTCAGTGGTTAGCAGGGTTTTTTTTTGGATAGCTAAAGATAAAAAGTTGTTCCAATTACAGGATAATGTAATTGTTATATTTCATCATACTATGTTCATTTCAAGGTGATATTTCAAAATATGGTATGTCTGTTTCCAATTACTATGGACATTCCCAAGTACCCTGGAGGACTTGTAGAAGCTCTGAGATCATATTTTGGTAAACATCATGAAGCAGAAAGAATTGGAGCCCACGCCTACCTAAATTCCACAGCCCAGAAAAGCACTTCTTCCTCTATGCATGAGGAACTAAAATTCAGTTTAATGCATGCTTTTTATGGTGCATAGCTGCAGAATTCCAAACTAATTAACTGAGAGAGACAAAAAAGTACTCACTTGTAATTAAAATTCCTAAGGTTCAGTTTATATGTAAAACCAAAATGAAAACTTTAAATTGTGTTTTCTCTGGCATTGCTCCAATATTTAGAAAAAGAGTGGGACGCTTGTCCTTTGCACGGGATCTCCAGATCATGAAGCATCAGAACCAGCTTCAAAAAGGAGCTGTGTCATTTGGGTAAGGCCGAGAGAATGTTTGCAAACTGGAAGTTCATACTTACACTTCCAGAGGTCTTCGGCATAACTTTTGCCTTTCTAAAAACGTGTTGATGTCTATTAAGAATTTTTTCCAAGAATTAATCTTCCTTCCTCTGTGGTAATGGTGTTCAAGGAGCAGCGCTTGCATACTAAATAATATAATTTGGCTGGAAGAATGGAGATAGAAAGCTACTGTGATGTTGAATGCTAGCCTGACCAATTCTTTTCAATTCCCTGTTTTGTTTTGTTTTGTTGTTTGTTTTGTTTCTAAGAGTAATACCTGCCCTCACTGGTGTGGCTCAGTGGATTGAGCTGTCAGCCTGAGAATCGCAAGTTAGGTCACTCATTTGATCTCCAGAAAGGGCACATGCCTGGGTTGTGGGCCAGGTACCCAGTTGGGGCTATAAGGCAACCAATCAACATTTCTATTCTTCTTTTTCTCCCTCCCTTTCCCTCTTTCTAAAAATAAACAGAGCCTTTAAAAATGAATAATACCTTTATATTCTATTAATTTATTTTTTATTTAAGTATAGTAGGTATATAATCTTATATCGGTTATATTAGTTTTAGGTGTACAATATAGGAATTTGATTGCCTAATGATGATTGCCTTATAATGATTGCCACACTAAATTTGGTAATCATCTGTCACCATGAAACTTATTTTTAACCATTCAATATATAAGCAATTTTAAGAGGAAAGTCTGTTTCATCCTAGTCTCCTTTGTTAACAACTCAAAACTTCCAGCAAATAAAATTAATGCTTACCTCAAAAGCCCTCTGTATTTTGACAAAGTCACCCACACCGAGTTGGTTTTCAAGCAGAGCTGTGCTGTGGTCTTCACCTTCGGTTCTCTCTGGCCCAGGCCGCGACCCCTTGTCCAACTCAAGTGCAGTGCTCTGGAAATTCATAATGGCTCCACGCCTTTTCAACAGCTCTCGACAAGGTCTACACTTACTTTTTTTCCCTCAACAGGTGTCTTTGAAAAGAAACCCAATTTAGAAATAGATTTCCAAATAAAAGTACATTTCAAGGCTTACAACAAGGAGGCACAATGTTCAAGCTGAGAGGTAGAGAGTGAAAACCCTCAGCCCCCACACTTCCTTCACTCCATGGTTTACTTTCAAAGTCTGCAGTCCAATCCTTTTGAAACACCACCACTTTATACCCTGTTGAACCTGACTTGGTTAAACATGGGTAAAGCTTCCCCCATGTTTATAGCAACTGACACAGGGTGCAGTTTCTAATCTTCATTTCAAATGCATTAGAAAAGCAACGTCTCAAAACCTCTTTGGCTAACCTTGTTTCTATTAACATGTTGAGGTTTGAAACTCCATTTTCTTGTCTGGAGACACTAGATGAGGCAGCTGCAAGGTTTCCATCGCAGGGAAGGGCTCCCTTCTGAAAAACGCCTTGGCAGCGACGTGGAGTGGTTTGCTTCATCTGTTCCCGCTGCTTTTGTGTGTTTCCTGGCAACCAGCATAGAGCCAACTACAACTTTCCTCTTCTCCTCCCTCTCTACCCCCAACTAATGACTGACCTGAAGGTTTGAATATATGATATACATACATACTGATGGTGTTTTTGAAAAGACAATTCAGTCCATTTTTCATTAAATTTCACCGTTGTGTTATTTAAAAACAGCTGTTAGAAATATATTGTTATGAAGCATGTCATGTATTGTGAAATGATATGATTAGCCAAAGAAAAGAGCGTGACATTCAGAAATTGTATGTTTTGCACAGAGGAAATGTTTTTTCCTTATTTAATAAGAACCCATTCCTCATATTCTCTTTGTCTTAGTTTTTATGTATTTAAAATGAGGTGGGGATGGTTTAAAAAGGCTCTCAATTCACTGAAAATATGAGGGAAACATAATATGATAAACTTTATGATGAAACTATAGCACCATCACTGTTTCAGCTACTGTGAATGAAAAGGAGGGGAAAAAAGAAAAGTTGGCATTTTTTGAGTATGTACCAGGTGCCAGGCCCGACAGGAAACACTTGGTCCTCCTTACTTTGTTTAAGCTTCACCATCACCCTCCAGGCAGATAAGATCCTGTCCCCACTGTGCAGAGGAAGGCCCCAGGGTCAGGAAGGTGTGGAATGTAGCAGCTCCCTCTCTGACAGCCTGAACTCCAGGCAACATCCTCTCTGCACCTGATTTTCTCTCTGTAAACTGAGAAGTCGTCACTAGATATCCCTTAGGTCCCTTTCACGCTGTCGTCCTGGGAGCCGTTGTGCACAAGGCGCATGGTGATACGCAGCACATTTCCTACATCACAGAGGAGGAAGCGTCCCACACACATTCCTACACCAGTTTCAGAAAAATCAATGAAATTTCATTTATGAGTTCATTAATTCATCTCTCTGTCCCTAGCTTACTTATTAAAAAACCTACTCTATATCAAGTCCCAACTGCTTGCTGTTTACCGTGCTGTGTTGAGAAGGATTCTGAAGGCTTAGCTAGGTTCAGAGGCAAAGAGTGGCTTTATAGATTGTAGATGTTTATCACAGGCACAGAGGGGTGTATTGACCACAAGTTTCTCTTTTGGAGTTTAACCCTTCATGTAAGTTAGGAAACCATTTTTAAGCCTAATATTATAAATTCCTCTAAGCTATCTCACATAAGAATCAAACTTGTCCGATACCACTCTAACTTATAAATTAATAATAGCTTAGATCAGCTGAATGTGTCTCATAAATGTTTGCAAAATGTTTTATAGTGGTGTTCTGGAGAGTCAGTTACAGACACTAATGAGGGAAGAACAAGGGAATGAAAAATCACTCAGTGAGGCGTAGGTGTCCTACTGGCTGGCAATGCAAACTTCTCTAATTGTTCTAGGACAGTCCAACTGCCTGGCCTGCTCCGCCTTCCTGAAGATGCAGCTCTAAACGTTTTCATTAGTCAAAACAGGGAAATACAATGAGCAGCTAATAAGTTACTGGAGAAGTTCATCAATTGACATCTTTCTGTAAATTTATGGCAATAAAAATGATTCTTGATCATAAAATCATGAAAATGGTTTAAAATGTGTTTGTAACTGTGGGGTTGATTTTCAGGTTAAACGTCCACAACCCTGTAAAATCCATCACTAGCCTGGTGGCTCTGCTGAAATTCATCTCCTGGCTTGTCATGAAGCAATTATGACTGTGAATACCTGTCCCCTGCCCACTCCACTACGCGGCTCTTTGGCGGATGGTGTAGTGATGGAAACAGTCTGTGCTCTCAAGGAGTAGACGGTTTAGTTGGGAGAGAATTTTAGCAATGAACCTGTACTTTCTCCCTTCTCTTGTAGGAACGAGCCCACACTCACTAGCATCCTGGAGAGCTGAGCGCCCAAGTGACAAAGTAAGCTGATACATCCACTCTCCTTTGCTTCCTTTGGACCCTGGGGGACTGACTCACTCTGCCCATTGAATAGACACTCCCACGTGTGTCCTTATCTCAATTCCCCCGTCCGCCCCCAAATCCCTGCTCTCTTCCTCTCCAGTGATTTGAACTCACTGACATAAATGTAGGTCTGGTCTTTCCTCTAATCCCCCTGCTCTGTGTTCACCCTCCTCTAGCACTGAAGCCTATTCTTCTTTACAGTCTTAATCTTTGCCTAGCATTCTCCCAACACCTTCTCACTTTAACTGAAACCAGCTTTCCCTTACCAACCTATTTCCCACTAAACCATTTAGAGTTGAACCTGCTCCTTGTCCCCAGTTCCCGTCCCCTGGGGCCAGCAGAAGGGTGGCTTCCCATGGTGTCCTTACGTCTCCAACTCGGGCCTTCCCCACAGGACCCCAGTGGCGAGAACTGCCAGAGCTCGTTTTCAAACACAGCTTTCTCCCAGAGCCGGAGGGAGAGGAAGCACCAGCCCTGCCTTCGACAGCTTTTAAGCCCTCAGTAAACATTAATTGCTTTTCTTCCTTGTTCCTGGTGCTCCCAGTTCAAATTAATTACTCCCTCCACTCTGCAACCGCAGCATTTTGTATGTACTTTAACCACAGCACTTTTTTTCCTGCCTTGCGATGTAATTAGTTGCCTGTGTATCTTTCTCTCCAACTACATTAACTCCCTAAGAACAATGCCCAACACAGTGCTTTGCATAAACTACACAACATCCAGCAATGTGTACTCCATTGTAAGAGACCCTAAGTGAAAAGTCAAGTTCACCTATTGCTTTGAGTTTGCAGAACAGGACCCTGGAAATAGGTGGCAGTGAGTCAGAAACAGGGGCAGAGTTCCATGAAAAAAGAAAACGAGGGAAACGAAATATGAGATTGTGTCTTTGAGGCATTTTTTAATACACTAATTCAAACACTCTTGAAACAAAGCATTTTGTTTTTTACACATACAATGTCTGTGCAAGATGGGGACCTTTGCTGAAGCCCGTACTCCATGCTGGGCGTTTCTCTGGGCACCAGAAAAGCAAAGGTGAACGAGACAGCTCTGTGCCCACCATGCCCAGAGATACACAGAACAGTAAATGCTGGTTTGAAATTAATCCCATCTTTTGAGAAAACAGGTCCCCGGTTAAGTCTCAGGCAACATGATGTTTGCCGTTTTCTGATCTGCTGAACAATGTCCAAAGTAACAAAACTGTTTTCATAACAGCATTTTGCAGATTGTTCAAGTATTTCAACACTGAGATTTCATGAAACAATGATGTCCTAAAGTAACTAAATGTGTAATTCTACAGTAAATTTGCTTATTATCATACTTTAAGTTCTACTCTAAGCCAAGAGTGGTGGCCACATTTTAAAATACATGGACGGGGAGTGTAAAATTGGAAAAAATCCCAATTATTGATTTAAGTATCCCTTCCCATTTGAGAAAGGCCACTGTGGTTTTACAAGTAGGCACATAGGATTCACAGAACAGAGCTTAAAAAATATCTCAAGTTCAATCTTTTAGTGCAAATTCAGATGAGTCTTCCCAACAGTTAATCACTCTTGAGTCCCTCTTTGCTTTAACAGATCCTTCTCTTTGAAATCCAATTTTCCATGTTCAAGGTTATATGTGGGCTTGTTGGTTATCAGCGAGGCTTTCACTAGGGAGCCACTTTCTGGGCAATTACTCTGAACTAGGTTACCAAATTCCTTTGTGTTGACTCTCTGAAAGAACACTGCATTTTATTCTACTTGGAGCTTTAAAACAGCCTGTCAAAGTCACCTTGATATTGAATACTTGCATCCACATATAGAACTGCTAAGAAAGAGTCATAAAATCACTGCATGTAAGGAGTCACTGAAAACCCAGTAAACAGGTATTGATTTCCTCCTTGAAGAGAGAAGGAAAGTAGGTAGGTTGGAAATGAACAATTATTGAGTTCCTAGTATATGCCAAATATGGTGTTAGGCACTTTCACAAATGTTATTTTATTAAACCTTATGATTTACCTGCAAGATACTTAATATTGTTCTGTTTTTCTATTGATGATGGTACTAAGCAAGGTTAAGTATCTTGCCCAACTTCACACAAGTTGTGAATTGTATGACATAATAATGCCACGCCCTGCTCTCTGCTAAGACTTGACACCAATTCCTTGTCACTTAATTCTCTTTGAAATCCTATGGTGTGGGCATATTTGTGGTCACTGTTTTATAAATAAAGAAACTAGGATTTGGGCAGATTAAATAATTTACGCAATTTCACCTAGCAAAGAAGTAGCAAAGCACTAATAGCACAGAAGAAAGTGAATTCCTCCAAACTTGGGGAGATAGGTAGGAATTCACAGAGGGATTGGAATATTGTACTTGTAAAACAGAATGAAGCAAAATTAAAACATGTCACGACATTTCATACTGAAGCCAAAATTCTATAATTATATTTATTGCTTCCAGGACATTCTACTGTCTGAATCTATTCCATATCAATATTTTCAAGGTTCTTAATACAATGTTAGTTATTGAAACAC